GCACCGCCAAGCTTCCAAAAGATATGTAAATCACTGAACTTTCAGGCTTTGTGTTAAGCCATTGGATATAGTCTTTTGAACCTTTGAAAAGATCTCCCCCAAATGAAGTATCTGCAGGGTTTTTCCTGTCTAGAAAGGCAGAAGGCATCAGAGGTCCAATCCCAGCCAAGTTGTAATTTTGGATTGCTTGGAGAGCCTCCGGTTCTAAGGCTTCAAAGGTGTTTACGAAAACTTTTGGGTAGGTTTCTTGGTCAAGGATCTCTATATGCCGTCTCATTGTTGGAACGGCTCCAGAATGTGGATTTGAAGGGAGGAAAAACGATGGCAGGTCATGACTTTTTAGTGGCGGCAATCCTGGAAATTCGAAGAGAAATGAAGGATCCTCGATATTTTTCCTGACAATAGCTTCATAACCTTTGATGTAATGGTAAAAGATGGAAAAGACGCTTGCAGGTTGATTCCAAAGAAAAGTACAAGGGATGTTAAACTCACGCGCCACCTCTGCAACCCAAGGAAGAAGAATAGAGTACACGATATGAGTAAACCGCACGCCTTCTCCAATTTTAGCTGCAATGAATTCTCTCAAAGTGGGAGAACCATAGCGCTCAACATCAAGGACGACCGTGGTGGCATCAAACTCCTGCTTGGAACCATCATCGTTGCCATCAGAGAAGCCTGCGTAAGATAACCCTTCCACAGGTGAACTTCTGTTCATCCGGTTGATGGCTGCAATGGATGTCACGAAGGTGATATGAACGCCTAGATTTATTAGGCGCTTAGAAAATTGGAGGGCGGGGTTTATATGGCCTTGTGCTGGAAATGTTACAACCAGGACACTGCAGGGTTGAGCCATACTGCGAGATTGTTGCTCAAAAGATTTTATAAATTGCTAAGATTAGTAAAGATTGAGTTGGGATGTGGGATGAAACAAACGCAGAGATATAAATATGAAGTGATATGGTGATGAGAACCAAAAGTGTGACAAGTGCAGTGACGAAATCAAATTCAAGGCTTCCAATTTCCATGCTTGCACCCAATAAACATTGCAGGTCTATATTTTTCAACTCCATAGAATTAAAAACGAAAATGATGAGCTACAGAATCTTCATCAGTTATTTTGTTTTACATAGTTCTGACTGTTAGTTGATTTTGTAGAAGGTTAGGCCTTGGGGTAATCTGCAGGAATAATAGTATTATATAGAGTGCACAAGGCGAGTGCCCCTAGCATTGCTCTTGCTCCAATTATCAAAGAAAAAACAAGAGGTTAAAAAATAAAGGTTGCCTCTTGGAAGAAAGAGATATGGGTCCACATGTTTCCTTCTTCTTCTTTTTTTTAACATTAAAGAATTGATTTTAAAAAAAAATAAGTACTAAATTTAAAACTTAATACATATTGTTTTAACCCACACATTCAAACGTCACAAGTAGGTCACCACAGGCTGGACGTTTCCTTCTTCTTTTAATCTGCAAAAAGGAAATTTTGTTTAATTAAGGCTCACATGCAGGAAAAAATTCTTAAACTATTCCTTTGTGTCAAATCTCACCTACTCCCAAGTTACCAAAACGGCTCTACATTAATAGCCACTGAACAACAATTCAGTAAAATTAGAAAAGAGCAAAACCCACTCAGAGTCTCAGACAATTTGTCAAACATTTGTCATGTATAATGATAAAAAAAATACTACTACCCTTCTAAACATCCATTCCTCAAACCCCAAAAAATTAAGCAAACAAAGCGAGCTTACCTAGCCTGGTGATATGACAGTTTTATATTTGATTGAAAGATACATTTTTAGAGTATTAGGGTTAGGGTTTAAATTCCTTACCCTATTGCAAATCATTCAAAAAAAAAAACATAGAAAGAAAAAACAAAACAGGCGATTCAAAACAAATAAATAACCAATTTACACCTTAAATTTTAACTTACCTTGTCCAGCATCCACAATTTCCTTTTTTCAAATTTAACCTATAAACGCAGTCACAACATCCAACATAGAATTTTAAAAAACAAGTTGATGAGATTAGTACAGGTTCGTTTCTTGTCTTTTCCTTGGAATGGACTGTTAGTTTTTGGCCGCCATACAATTTCGCCTACGGGGACTGTTAGTTGATTCATTGAGAGATGGAGTATACGGTATATATAGGGATTGTAGAGATTCGTCATTTTCTTTTAGATTAAAATACTAGAAATAAATTTACTTAAAAAAAAAAAACCTTAAGGGAATAATAGCCATCTGTATTATCACTTAAAAATTATAAAAAAAATTATATCATTTTAATAAATTTTCATAGTAAAGAAGATTTACTTATTTTTAAAATTTAAATTGGACTGTATTTAATTTTTTTATAATATTTTATTAAAATAACTTAATTTTATTGTAGTTTTCTTCTTTAAAAAAAGGAAAAGTGAATAATCATTAATGCAAAAACTTAAATTCCTTTTATACATCAATACTTAAAAAAGATTCATTTAGATATTTAAACTAATGTATAATTTTGACATTTAAAATACTAAAAAATCTTGATTCCTAGTTTTTTATATTCATTTGGTTTGGCTATTCTTAACAACTACAAACACCTTAACCAATTGTGCAAGAAAATAATAATTATAGACATAAAATCAACCAAACCAAATACAATTTTATAGTAATATCTTATTTTATGAGACTTATAGTAATATCAAAAAAATATAATTTATTGATTTAAGAGAAAAGAAAAAATTAAGATATTTTGACATTAAAAATATCAAAAATT